TTGAGGTTTAACCATGATCCAGACAACTCGCTCTCGCATCGTATCGGCTCGCCTTTTATACTAATACGGGACGATTTTTACTTACGAGAAAGACTAACACGCGGTCGCCACGTCGCGGTAGTATGTGGTACTAGTGCTATCTATTCAGGAGGGAATCAGGCGTACCGGATCAGGCACATGTCTATATTCCGCGTATATCCCATGCACGTACGAGAAATAACGTACTACTAAGATATTATACGAATGTTCTCAGTTTATCCTGTATTATCCCAGAACATTCAGTATGAGTACAGAATATTCGAATGATATCATGTGCTGTGTGGGAATTTAATAAATATACATATAAAATGACCATGATACCTTGTCTTCACTAATATTTTTTTAAATTTGTGAATCAAATTTCCGACGGCGATTTAGTAGAAAATTTCTTGATTAAAAACTTTTCATACATAATTATACATATTGTTACGTCCGGCTCCGCCGTCCACACAACACCTCGCGCACTCGCGCACTTGTCGGCTCGACTTTCGCTCGCGGCGCACGCCACCGGGCCGCGAAGAAATCAACAAGGATTGGAAATCAACAAGGAAACTTTATTCGGTAATGAACACACGTCTGTACTCTCGAAGAGGCCCAGAGACAAAATTAGAAAATCAATCAACAACAACCGCGCATCGGTCCTTCGCGACCGATCTGTTTCAGACGAAAGTTGTACGGTTTTAAAAGGGCATATATAATGGTAAAATTAATGTTCCAAAAAAATTAATTTTTTATATGGAGGTCGCCGCCATTTTTTTAAATGGAACTCTCTATTGTTTATTATACTATTTTATTCTACTAATTAATATGAACAACTTTTGTCTGAAACATTTTTTGATTTGCCTAATACTTTTTGAGATATTCAAGAGAAAATTTATAACTTTTTCAATGTTTAGCTTCTAATCTCTCGATAACTGTTTGTCGGAGGGAAAAGTAGTACATGACTTTTTTACTTGATTTAGTCTCAGGAATATGCTGTTGCAATGGTGTTTCAATTATTGAAAAATTTTGTGTATGTAAATTTTATGTGTTGCAATATTGGAACACTTTTATAACAGCATATTCTTGAGACTAAATCAAGTAAAAAAGTCCTGTACTACTTTTCCCTCCGACAAACAGTTATCGAGAGATTATAAGCTAAACATTGAAAAAGTTATAAATTTTCTCTTGAATATCTCAAAAAGTATTAGGCAAATCAAAAAATGTTTCAGACAAAAGTTGTTCATATTAATTAGTAGAATAAAATAGTATAATAAACAATAGAGAGTTCCATTTAAAAAATGGCGGCGACTTCCATATAATCATAAAAAATTAATTTTTTGGAACATTAATTTTACCATTATATAGCCCTTTTAAAACCGTACAACTTTCGTCTGAAACATTTTTCCGTATCTCCCATATTTTTCGAGATATTTTACCGGTCCGGTACTTTTCCCTCACCCTGTATAATAAATACACAGGGAGAGAACGCATGAATTGCCTCAGCTCTCGAGGTAAGGCAGCTCATGCGTGTATGCGAATGTGTTTCATGCGTAAAACGGAACGCAGAGCGAAAAAGTTATTTAGCGATAGAGTTATTTAGAATATTGTATTTGCAGTGCAGCTGCAATATTGCAGATTTAATATTACGCAATATTGTGTTTGAAATATTGTTGCACCATTGCATTTACAATATGCAATCTTGCAACGTTGCAGCAATGCTGCTGCAGCTTTTGTGCTGTATGGGTTAATGCTTCTTTTCCAGAGGCTATATGCAGGAACCGACATTTTGAGAAGCCAACGCGATCGGAATTTCAGGTGCAGATGCGAGAAGCTTTGCGGGTCGCAAAGGAGAGAAATCGCAGCAGGATGCGTTCGCGCCAGCGAACAGTCCAGGCGAGGGTGGCGAGAGTTAACCACGATCTTGGGGACGACGAGAGGACGGAAGAGGAAGACGAGACGGACGAACTGGACAAGTCTGAAGAAACAAACAAATAGTGAGTATATTATATTCGTTTAAGATAAAAGTATCAATACCTGAACGTGTATAAAAAACTGCAGGCATTTGTATTATTTTTCCTTCAAATGCTATCTAATAGTTCAACTTTTTAACTTGAATATTCTTATATTATTCTTATATTTAATATTTACGTATATTCTATGTTGTAAAAGTTAAAATATTTGTTATTAAAGATGAAAACAATCAGAATGTCCAAGTTTAAATACGCGTAGAGACATTGATACTTTTAATTAAAAGTTTCCATCTTGTATACTTTATACTTGGGGATATGCTTTTCATTTATCTTTGTTATTCACCGAATGTAAAACAAGGACAAATGATGCTTCATGCGTGAATCGAAAAGCATCCTTGTACTTGTTATTTTCATGTAACATTATATTTCCGCAGAATCACTCACAATTATGTGGTGGACCAAGGACCAAGCAGAGATATCAGAACTGCAGACGGAACAGCATGCTGTTCCGTCTGCAGTTCTGGCATCTTTGGCCGACCAAGTACCAAGGCCAATGGAGCAAGCCTAAGGAGCGAGAAAGAAGAGACAGCGGAAGGAAAGGAGGACGGAGGAAGAATAGAAGGAGGAGAGGGGAGAGAGGAGGAGAGAGACCAGTGTGGTCTCTGTGTGTGTGACACACGAAATGGCACTTATCAGTGCCCATTTTTACATGGTTCATACATAGACATTGATCATGTTCGCTCTAAATAAACGGCACTTTTTAGCGCCACTGCAACTGCAATGAACGATTCACACTGCGTCTGATATCCGATGTACGACGTCCGATTTTCAATAGCAAAGTTCGTTTTCTAGAGATTTTAGCAGAATCTTTAAAAAACGCGCACTCTTCTGTTGAATATCGGACGTCGTACATTGAATGTCAGATGTAGTATGAATTCTACACAAAATACGTTTTTGGATTATTTTATGTACTTTCACATATTATTTTCTACGTTTAGGTATACCTGTGCCAAAGGGAAGAGAGGCGGCAGTCTTCACCTTGTTCCAAAATGACGTCTGATGAAAAGACGGAGATGGATCACTGCTGACGTGTTCAATCTATATGTGAA